CAATTTGGCTACTGCATTAAATCAGTGGGCTCTGGAGAGAAAAAAATCTGTGAGTCAGAGGCTAAAAAACTGTGAGCTAGCTCCAGGGCTAACCCCAGCTTATTTTGCACCCTAGGCGAGTGTCCCTTCTGGCCCACCCCCCAGTGCGCCCACCAATTTTCAAAAATAAATGCATTTTAGGAAGAATGAAAAACACAAATAATCAAGAAACTCCCAGAGTATGGGACTGGGTTCAGTTTGGCACCCCTAAGGGCCGTCCTACTCTAGGCGACTGCCTAGTTCGCCTAGTGAGTGAGCCGGCCCTGGCTAGCTCACACTCACTCAGCTTAGAGGGAACACTGAATTCCCCGGTATCTCCAGTTGACAGGATCAGTTAGTAGTAGGTGATGGGAAAGACCTCAGCCTGGGACCCTGGAGAGCCACAGCCAGTCTGAGGAGACAATCTGGTCTTGATGGACCAAGGGTCTGATTCAGTAGAAATCCAAATCCAAAAAATAAATAAAAATAAGGCAGCTTCATGCAAATAGGGATAGGTTCAGGTGGGTATCCATGCTGATCTGAAGCAATAGAACAATGCTTGAGTCCAGTGGCACCTTTATATATGTATTTATTTAGATTTATACCCTGCCCTCCCCGGCAAGGCAGGCTCAGGGCGGCTTACAATAAAAGTTAAAACAATATAAAATCATAAAAATCATAACAATAATAAAATAATAAAAAGATAAAAATCATAAAAAGATAAAAATTGTGGTCTGTAAACCGCTCTGAGCCTCATGGATAGGGCGGTATATAAATCGCTAATGTAATGTAATAAAACATTTATAAGGTTGAAAAGTACTGAGACTTACTAGCGATTTCAGCTCTCATACTTTTATTTAGTTCGGAACAAGACAACTAGAACCGGCTCGCAGGCCGGTTTATATGTGCAACAATCCCAAACCCAAAACACACCCACACACAAGTGATTGGTCATTACAGTGGCCGAGAGTTCCATGGGCTCTCGGCAGGGTGCCTAGCCCTCCTATTGGTGCAGGCTAGGATCTGCTTGGCCCATTGTTCCTGAGAGTGAAGCTCGGCTGCTTTGCATGACCGTGTGGCGACCTAGCTGCACACGTGGTCAGAGATGGATACATTACAAAGGTGCTACATATAGGATGGCGCAATTTCAGTTTTGATATTAACCATAGTGGGCATCCAGTCAACAATAGTTATAAAACTGCTGCCCAGACCCATAATATATTAAGTAGGTAATGGCTCAGAGGTTAAGATGCTGAGCTGCAGACCGGAAGGAAACAAAAGAACTGTGATTATGGAAATCACCATTTGGATGATGTGCACAGTGCCAGAAAAGGAAGATAACATGGCAGAATTGTTAACAGTGAGTGTGACCAATCAGGCACTGCAGTACAGATCTATATCGAGAAATGTTATTCCCTGAAATGAAGCTGGCTTTGGGAAAGGAAGTAATGAACTTCATACAGCCGAAGTGATAGTATATCTGCGCTTTTAAAAAATCTGCCCTTCCTTTAGAGCAACAGACCAGGTTCTCTGTGGTTTCATCCCCGCCCCGCACAGCAACCATGTCAGGTATGTAGACTGAGAGAGAAGAAGAAGAGGAAGAAGAGAACCCACTTTTCTCTATCCAAAGGAGTCTTAAAGCGGCTTACAATCGCCTTTCCTTTCCTCTCCCCACAACAGGCACCTTGTGAGGTAGGTGAGGCTGAGCGTTCTGAGAGAACTGTGACGGGCCCAAGGTCTCCCAGCAGGCTTCACGTGGAGGAGGTGTGGGGAATCAAACCCAGTTCTCCCAGATTAGAGTCTGCCACTCTTAACCACTACACCACACTGGGGGGGGGGGGTCCAGGGTCATCCAGTGACCTTCATGATGACTGAATGGGGATTTGAACCTCTTGGTCTAACCCTATACTGGCTCTTGCAAGAGTTTGTATAATTGGGACATGGACATAATAGGTAGGGTGTAGGTAGGTGGACTGGGTGCTGAAAATACCTACCGGTAGTTTACAAGCTAAAGCTGCAACTGTTTTTACGCAATTCAGTTGGAATTCTGTCTAGCACTAAGGCGTACCTTGTAATCAAGGATGTCGAAAGTGAATAAACCTTGCTAGCAACCCTCAAGTGAGTGGCCATTGTTTTGGAGGTTCTCTGCATCTGGCCTGGCCCTATCAGATGTAGGGTTGCCAGCTCTGTGTTGGGAAATTCCTGGAGGTTTGTGGGTGGAGTCTAGGGAGGGCGGGGTTTGGGGAGGGGAGGGGCCTCAGCTGGGGTTTCATGCTATGGAGTCCATCTTCCAGCCATTTTCTCCAGGGAAACTGATATCCGCTATCTGGAGACTAGTTGTAATTCTAGGAGACCTGCAGACACCGCCTGCAGGCTGGCAATGCTGACATAAATTGAGTGTAAAAGTGGCAGGGGGAAATCACACATGCCAATGCAAGTTTTTTTAATTTATTTTTAAAATTATTTTATTTAAATAAAACAATCAACATATTCATGAACATAAACATACCATAATCCAAACGACTTATGTCAGCACATACACAGGTTATCTACCAACTTAATGTTAGTACAATGAACACCTTGAACTTAAGGAATATACTGCTATATAACCCGTGTAGTGAAGAACTATACTGATTTTAGTTCATCACACTCAAAAACAAAGCCAGTTTTTATCAATGTTCCCTCTAAGCTGTGGAGTCCTGTGAGCAAAAAAATCTACTTTGTGAGCTGCTGGCATTAAAGTTGTGAGCAAGCAATTCGACTGCTGCATAAATTAATTTGCTCCGGAGCCCTCCTTCCTGAGCAAAGACAGAAATTTGTGAGCTGGAAGCGAAAAAACTGTGAGCTAGCTCACACTAACTCAGCTTAGAGGGAACACCGGGTACCACTTCTTTTTCTGTGAGAAACTGCAGTATTGGAAACCACGTAGATACAAATAGTGTTTGATAATCTTCACTGGCTTGGTTAGATATATCATTTGCAATTTCCCCCATAATAAATTGCATCCATAGGTTTTCATACCACCCGTTAAGAGAAGGGCCTAAATTCGATTTCCACTTAGAAGCAATGGTGAGTCTGGCTGCAGCAATCAAGATAGAAATTGTTTCTTCCTTTGGTTTCAAAGTGTTTTTATTTTATGTGTATTTTTATTCAGGTCCGAGATAACTTTCAAGGCAAGTCTTCTAAACCTGGGGTTTTTCTGCTCACTATTCTTGCTAATCCTAAATGATATTTTATTATTGATACCGTGAGCTTGCTATGGCATAACATGGAAGAAAAGCAACAAACAAGATATTTATGGAATGCTACCAGTGAGGCTGCGATATTTATGGAATGCTACCAGTGAGGAGCTGCGATGGCTCAAGTGGTTAAGACGCTGAACTGCAGGCTGTGGAAGGTCAGTAGTTCAGCGGTTCGAGACCTGAGTGTGCCGCATGACGGAGTGAGCTCCCGTCTCCAGTTCCAGCTCCTGCCAACCTAGCAGTTCGAAAGCAAGAAATTGCAAGTAGATAAATAGGTACCACTTCGGTGGGAAGGTAACAGCGTTCCGTGCGCCTTGGTGATTAGTCATGCCGGCCCCATGACCACGGAAATGTCTTCGGACAGCGCTGGCTCTTCGGCTTTGAAACGGAGATGAGCACTGCAACCCTAGAGTCGGATTCGACTGGCTTTCGAGCAAGGGAACCTTTACTTTACCAGTGAGGCAAGAGGAAGAAGCGAGTACACCCCCATCGTGCTTGGATTGAAACCTTGCTAACAGTATGTTTTAATTATTTGTTAATTTTAAAGCCAGTGGTGGACGGCTGAAAAGCAGAGTAAAATGCAACACCCTCCCCCAATAATAAATAGACTTCTACAGTGGAGGCTTAAATGAATTGCCATGTATTATCAATAGAGTCGAAGCAAGGCATCATTTAAAACAGACAACTCTTTATTCAATAGAGAGTTTACTGGAATAATGTACTATTTGGGATACTTCAGAAGCTTTCCGTGTACTAAGGCTTGTAACAAACTATTTCACAAACAAAGCAGATACAGTATAGACATTGATTTTAAAGGAAAATGGCAAATCAGAGAACTGTCTGTGTGTACGTTATTTCCAAACACAGACACATTCCATATTCAAAATGTAGATCTAATTTTTTAAAAAGCCCATAAAAATACTAGACAAGCTTTGTTGATTTCATCTTCAATCACAGTTATTGAATAACATCCCTTCCTTTATTACTAGTTAACCCATGAACCAGTTATAGAAGTTCTTCTTTTGACAGAGATCCCTTGCAAACTGAGGGCGATTCCGCATCTAGCATTTGCTCTGCATCTTCTTAACTGGGGCCCATTCTGCATCCAACATTCGCTCTGCTGTTTTACCAAGCCCACGTTGGAACAGAAATTCCCCTCTACATTGCATGCCACTTTCACTTTCTTTGATCGTCACATTTTATGGTAGCGTTCACACTCTCCACGCAAGTTTCACTTCCTTTGATTGCTCGGTTTTATGGTACAGTCTGCCAGTGTTCCCTCTAAGCTGAGTTATTGTGAGCTAGCTCGGGCTGCCATTTCACACAGTCTTTCCCCTACCAGTAAGGAGCCATCTCTGAAGCGGTTTGGCATTTCAGACTGCACCACTTTGTTTTCCCACCCTTTTTCGCCCGAGCAGGCGATCTCTGTCCTTTTATTTTTAACGTTTGTTTTAAAGTGCTATAGCGAATGTTCAAAACATTCTAAAACGAACATTAAAAAAAATGAACATTCAAAAATAAAAAAAGACAGAGATCACCCACGCAGGCAGAAAAGGGCGGAAAAACAAAGCGGTGTCGGAGGAAGCACTACAGGGCATTTTACACAGCACCCCATAGCGCTTCAGAAATGGTATAGAAAAGTGAAGACCACTTGGAAGCAGTTTGCAGGTAAAACGGTTCAGAAAGACTTCCCGAATGGAACAGAAGCGTTTCTGTCTGAAAGTGAAAATATATTCCGGTAGGGAACCGTTACTAAAATGGTTCTGTCTGAAATGTCAGATAGTTTTTTACTGTATCACAGCTATAGTAGAGCTAATACGGTAGGAGATGTTCACATCCTGCAAGTTCACCCTGTATCCGCACGATTGCCTGATTTGTGCAGCCACTTCTCATACAACATTTTCCCTGCAAGGGTGTATAACATCACATGTGCAGATGATGCAACTGTCTAAGTTTGCCCCAGGTTCATTTATTGGGAACTTACAGCCCATTGTGGCTTCCCAGAGTGCATTGCAAAAGGCAGTCGTGTGGTCATCACAAAATGGCGCCACGACGATTGAGCAGAAACGATGTAAAAATGAATTAAAATAAATCAAAATAAAGCCAGCTGCCAGCCTGACCCTTAGGTGGGTGGCTATAAAACCAGCCAAGAAAGGCAGTTAGGTGCGAATGCAGTGTGTACGTTAGATGCTAAGCCACTGACTCTGCCTTGCCTGATTCTTGGAACTTGACCTTGGACCGAATAACTCGACCTTGCCTGACTTCTGAAACCCTGATCTTGGACTGAATGACCCTGCCTTGCCTGACCCCCTGGCACCAGAGCATTGTGGGCAAGCCGGTAGAATTATTCAAAATGGTGGCCATGGGGAATTGGGTGGTTTGCTGTGTTACCATTGAAAGACAGAACAGTTTCAAGGATATATGGAAGTCCCCTCACTGTTTGATGGGTGGTCTCTTTGGAAAAGGAAAGATAGGCAAGACTGGGGCCTTGGGACGGAGAGGGTGCTTTCCACCATCCCTATCACTCAGGAACAAGCCTCCCAACTATTTAATGTTTCCTAGGGCATGTATATCTGCATTCTCTAGAATTTCCACCTTCTGATTATCAGGTCCTGGCATTACCACGTTGTTCACCATTGCCCGGGCCACAGTCACTGTGGAGACAGAGCAAAATGTGGGAAAGACGTAGGCTACTGCTCCAAGGACTTGCCTGGCAATCCACTCAGCAGGACGAGACTCCTGACGATCGCACAGCAGCAACCTATTAGGAGGAGAGGAGACATGGGTAAAAAAACCAGGTTCCTCCCCGTTCTATAGAGTGACTAGATCTTAAGGAGGAGGAGAGAGCTCTTTCAAGGACTGCTTATGGAGGAGAAGAGAGCTCTTTCAAGGACTGCTCTTGAGAGAACAGCTCTGAAAGAACTTGTAACTGACCCAAGGTCGCACAAGCAGCTGCATGTGGAGAAGTGGGGAATCAAACCCAGTTCTCTCAGATTAGAGTCCGTGCTCCTAACCACGACACCAAACTAGTATGATGAACTAGTATGGAGAAGCACAGTGCAATAGGGGAGGATGTAGGTAGGTGAGGTGGACGAGAGATGCTTGCCATTGCCACCATTTTCTGGCCACAGTAAAAGCAGTTAGTTGCATGAGGACCAACTGACCCAGAAATATGATGGATAGCACATTGTTTTTCTGATGGGATCTAAAATCCTGCCCCTAAATGACAAAATAGGACCTACGTCTTGGTGCATTATTGCATCAGAAGGGTCCATCCATTTCTGTGGAAAGAGCCTCTAACGCAGGGTTCCCCTACCTTTTTGAATCTGCGGGCACATTTGGAATTCTGACATGGTGTGGTGAGCACAGCCACAAAATGGCTGCCCTCAGGAGGTGGAGCCAGCCACAAAATGGCCACTGTGGCTTACCTTTAGTCACATAGTGAAGATTCTTATGCTGTGCTGGCAGCTGCTGCCAAAGCAATTTTTGAAGATCTGCAAAGTCAATCAAATCTCTAATGGCCAATCAGAAACCTTGCTGGGCCAAAGCCCCACCTGGCTCCGCCCACTTTCTAAAAACACTTGGTCAGCCCCACGTTGGGGACCACTGCTCTAATGGCATACCTCACCACTCATGATTAGGATTCAGGACTATTTTACATGGTACCAGAACATTGTGGGCAAAAACTACCATGGTGGCTGTTCCCACCAGGGTTGCCAGCCTCCAGGTGGGGCCTGGGGATCTCCCGCTTTTACCACTGATCCCCAGCCGACAGAGATCAGCTCCCCTGGAGAAAATGGCTGCTTTGAAGGGTGGACTCTATGGCATTGTACTATGCGGAGGCCCCTCCCCTCCCCAAACCACACCCTCTCCTGGCTCCACCCCCAAGTCTCCAGGTATTTTCCAACCCAGACTTGGCAACCCTAGTTCCCACATCATTCTATGAGTAATGGCATTCATGTTGCTCAGGTACCCTGCCCTTCACTACCCGAAGGAGTCTCAGAGTGGTTTACAATCTCCTTTCCCTTCCCCTCCCCACAATAGACACCCTGTGAGGTAGGTGGGGCTGAGAGAGCTCTCTCGAGGACTGCTCTTGAGAGAACAGCTCTGAGAGAACTTGTGACTAACCCGAGGTCACACCAGCAGCTGCATGTGGAGGAGTGGGGAATCAAACCCCGTTCTCCCAGATTAGAGTCTGTGCTCCTAGCAGGATCCATGTTCCAGTTCCCACTCTGCCATGAAGCATGCTGAGTGGTATGGGCCTGTCACTGCAGGTCCAACTTCAATGGCACAATGCCCAATTGTTCAGCTTTCATCCTTTTGGCACACCCGTCCACCCCCAGTTCACACACACTCTTCTTGGTACTTACGCTGGTCTAAATATGGAGCAGCGGTCAAACCTAACTGTTTTGACCCTGGACTCTGCTTCAGCCTGAGGGGACAAATCAAATGAAACATAAGGTGTCAGTTCTCAAACATACCCACTGCGAATTCCATTTTGTTCCATGCTCAGAGTTACAGGCCCCAGATAGTGGGCTGGTGTACAAATTCATTAGGGGCTAAAGTCCTCCAAAATCAAAGTCCTCCAAAATCAAAGAGCCTAGAGTGCTCACCCCCAGAAGAATGCATGGTATCACAGTTAAGAGCCAGAGCACAGGAGATCCGATAAGAACATAAGGTTGTACTTTTATCCCTTGATGATGTATGTTTTGTTGTGATGCCAATAAAGGTAGCTGATGATGATGATAAGAACATAAGAGCCCTGCTGGATCAGACCAGGGTCCATCTAGTCCAGCATCCTGTCTCAGACAGTGGCCAACCAGTTCCTCTGGAGGGCCAACTTATCCTCCATGAATCTATCTAGTCTTCCTTTAAAACTGTTTATTCCTGATGGTGTACAGATAGCCATCCCCCAAGTCGGGTCAGGGGATCCCCCAATATCAGGGGCACCAATCTGCTGCTAGCCAGCTGGCCAGCAGGGGAAGGCCCACCAATGAACAACAGCGTCCCGTGGGGACACCACTGATGCAATGACATCACCGGTAGTGATGCCATCACGCTGGGGCCATCACGTGGTGACGCTCTAGCATTCGGAGGGAAATTCTATGGTTACCAGAGTTTCCCCCCCAAATGCTAAAGTGTTGCCGCGCTACGGCCCTAGCATGATGACATCAGTACCGGTGACATCATCGCTCCACACAAGTGGCAGAAAAGTCCTGACGAGGAGCCGGGAGCCCTCCTGCCACGGGTAAGGTGAGACCCGGCAACCCTATGTAGAGGAGATGGAACAAAGGTTACCGATGATGATGGGGTAATGATTTTGGCATACAAGTGCATAATGCAACATAGATGTATTTGGTGAACGTCTGGAAAGTGTGACAACAACGCCAGTCAGGACCCTTCTGGGTGGGTGCTCCAAACTGTGAGCGTCCCTCCACATCTTAGCAACGACAATGATCTTGTTCCTTTTTTATTAAGCATGAACAGAAGGTAAAGCTTCTGCCAATATTCCGTGTGATAGTTTCAGAGGGTAGCCACGGAGGTCTGCAGTGGAGCCGGTTAGGTTCGTGTCCAGTAACCCCTTAGAGACCAACGGCTGATTTCGCACTAGAGCTGCCTCGATGTTGCGCTGCCATTTGCCCCGATACTATTGGTCAATTTCACACCCGAAGCTGCTGGGCTGCATTTTGACTCGCGGCTTCGCCCGATTTCCCCCGCAGTTTCATGATCCTGTTTTTTGAGGATCACGAAACTGCGGAGGAAATCGGGGGAGGAATTGTAATGTATTGGAACAATTACATGAATCACCTCATTAGACTCCCATGTTAAGCTTCGAGCCAAGCTAGGGCTCCTCTGAACGAACTTCCTATTGGTCGCTTTGTAACAGCGACCAATCAGAACGGTACTATTCCCTGGGAGGGAAAGACTCCCATTGGTCTTTAACTCATCAATCTTATTGGTTGTTAAATGTAAATAGGCGTGGCTATATTAGCCCGGTAATGTTTAAAAGGAGCATAGCTCCCACTGTTTGGTTGTTCTGGTTTTGGAATGCGTTTGAGTGTTTGCTTGCTACTTCAAATAAAGCTGAATCACTGAGCTGAAATCATTCTCCGATCCTTTGTTAGCGCGATCTAACAGCAGACTCGGGTGTGAAATTGACCAATAGTATCGGGGCAAATGGCAGCGCAACATCGAGGCAGCTCTTGGGCGAAATCAGCCCAACAAGAGTTTCATTTTTTAGCTTTAGAGAGTCAAAGCTCCTTTCATTGGAAACGAGCAGCAAGACATTTCACTCTTCTGGCTCACTCTGTAACAGGTTTGCCGACTTCCAGGTGAGACCTGGACGCCTCTCGGAATTACAGCTGATCTCCAGATGGCAGCATCCGTTCCCCTGGAGAAAATGGCTGCTTCCCAGGATACCCTCTATGGCACTATGCTGCACTGAGGTCCCTCCACTGCTCATGCCCTGCTCTCCCCAGGCTCCACCCCGAAATATCAGGAATTTCCATCCCAGAGCTGGCAGCTTTAACGCGTGACAGTTATTCAAGCGGGAGTAGGGTTGGCAAGTCCCCCCGGCCTTCAGTCCCCAAAGGAGTCTCAGAGCAGTTTACAATCCCTTTCTCTCCCGCTCCCCACAACAGAGGAGAAGCACAGTGCAATAGGGGAGGATGTAGGTAGGGGCGGGGAAACCCCCGCTTGAGAGGCCCATTCCCCACCGGCTGGGATTGGGCTGCTGGGGGAAACCCCGCCCCCAAAGTGCCAGACGTGCCTGGCATGATGATGTCACCTGGAGGTGACATCATCGCATTGGACACGTTGCGGGGGGCGCTCTATCATTCGAGGGAAAACTCTATGGCCTACAACTTGCATAGGTAAGGCCAGAATGCAGAGTAAGGGAGAAACAAAAGGTTCTTCCCTATTCTCTCGCTGGCTAACTGACCTCGGAACCGACTGAATAGTGTGTCACCTAGAGTTGCCAACCTCCTGGTGGTGGCTGGAGATCTCCTGGGATCGCAACTGATCTTCAGGCAACAGAGATCAGTTCCCCTGGAGAAAATGGCTGCTTTGGAGGGGGACTGTATGGCGTTATACCCCACTGAAGTCCCTCCCCTCTCCAAACCCCCTGCCCTCAGGCTCCACCTCTAAAATCTCCAGGTACTTCCCAACCTGGAGCTGGCAGCCCTAGTGTCACCCCTCAGACACACCTTAACCTGCATGAGGAAGAAGCGGCTGGAGGGATTTGCACCCATGGCTGAGAGTAAGACGAAATGGCGGCATCCACCAGCTTTGGCTAATCTCGCCGAATGGTAAACGTAATCTCTGTCGACGCGGATCAGTCCATCCTGAAGTGGTGGAGAACGGGATTAATTTATTTGGATCATTAAAAATAAAAAAATATCAGTATCGCTAACAATAAATCAGTATTATTATTGTTGTTGTTTTTTAATAATAATGATTGAGATGACTGGGGGAAGGAAAAGAAGTAGGAGGCTGTTCCTCCGGTTTTCATTAGACACAAAAACCTCTCAGTTATCACTGCAAACATTTCTGGGAACTGTCGTTTTCCAGAGCTTCTGTGGCTTTCGAAGGACCCAGAATTCCTACTATGCTTTGGGCTGCCAAGTCCCCCCGGGGGCCCGTTCCCCGACACCGGGGGATTGGGCCCCGGGGGGAACCCCGCCCCGGCGTGCACGTCACCAGGAAGGGACGCTATGACGCCAGGCATGCTGGGGGCGGGGCCACGGCCATACAAGGGAAAACTCTATGGCTTTCCCTAATATGGTCGTGGCCCCGCCCCCACCGTGCCCGGCTTCATAACGTCACTTTCTGGTTCCCGTCCATTTTGAACTTGGCAACCCTAACTCTGCTACAATTCATTGAGACTCTCGTCCTGGGGCCTCATTTTGGGTAAAGCTTTGGGGCCTAATGAAGGCCTGAGGACCAGTCTTTGCGTAATGCCCCCTCCTCCAATAGCTGCTTCAGGAAAGCAAACGTTGAGGAAAGAGGCAGTGTGGCACAGGCTAAAATTAATTACAAGAGCAACCTAGATACCAAGGGGTTTGGTATTAAATTCTGTAAATAAAGGCTGCTTTCCAAATTGGGATATGGGAGACGTTTTCTCACTCCAGCCCCTCCCAGTTCCAAAATCCAGCATATATCTTGCTTAAACAGAGTGATGGAATCCTCCTACTGTCCAAAGCATTCCCATTTCATACTCAGCACTTTCCCACTTTTGTTGTTGTTATTGTTCTTGCCCCATACTGCTTTGGTTTCTCCCCTGATATCCACGTACAGTTTTGTGCCTTTTTCACACTGTTTTCACACTGGTTTTTTGTGTCCCCCCCCCCCCGGGTTTTCCCGGTTCTTTCGAGAGCACTTTTACCCCAACCTTTTCTGGAAGCTGATTCTGAGTTGCCCTTCAGTTTGTGTATTAATGCTTCTGTTGGTTTTCTTTGTCTCACCCATTCCCATCTACCTCCAGCTCACTTTTTTAGCTATTGGACCACCACCACCATCAAACGACTCCCTCTCCTCCTCCCCACCTTGAAGAGGTGATTTCATTTTTAATTTTTTTTAAAAAAGGCACTAAAATATTGATTTAGTACTATACCATTGTAACGATAGGTTTAGCAGGTTCTCTGAATTTCCAGCTTCCATTAAAAATAAAATAAAATTTTTAAAGTCTCTAGAGATATGCCCTTTTCCTTACATCTCTATGGGTGCGGTCAGACGGCGGGCTGGGAGCGGTGTAAATCACTCTGGTTCCAACTAGATTAATTTGATACGGGGAAAGCGCGATCACACTCACCTCTTACATCGCTCCCTGGTGTCCACACTTCAGGCGCTCAGTAGAGCGCGTCGGTTGTTTTTTTTTACACAGTTTGCACATGCACATAGGCAGTCTTCCTTATAATGAAGATCTTTGCACAGGCGCAGAACAACCCAACCCGAAAAGCATGCCCTGAAGCAAAGACGTCCCTTTAAATTTTTACTCTGAAACTGGCCTCCGTGAGGTCCCGGACTCATCTAAAGCCTTACACTAGGCCCTTTTTTTGGTTTGTTTTACAAACGCCAGGGCGAAGCTTCGCCCAAGCGCACATTGAGGAGCCTTAAAAAAAATGGCGGCCGAAAAGCGGAAGCCTTGGGCTTCTGAACGGAAGTGGCTAGACACCGGTGGAGAGCGATCAGATGGGGATAATGTGGTTGGAACCGGTGCACTCAGGATACCACCACTTGGGGACCTAGTAGCAGAATACAACGGTTAAAGGCTGTTTGCAACGGTTAGGGACGGAAGGCAGATG